AGTTCATACACACGTGTGTTTTAATATAACGGTGATGATATTCATCGTTTTCTGCCCGTACGAGACTAGGTAGGGTTTGAAACAGTAGAACATGTGTGTGGACTTTGGTGTCACGCTGACTTCTGTTCAAATCATGGTCCATTTCCTCAAGCAAGTGATTTCATTTTTCCTACCCTTTTCCTGGCATTTTGTTCAGTTTTAATAGGGGTTGGCAATGATGAGATGTTGGAAGAGTGACTACAAGTGCTTTGCTCCCAGTAGCAACCTGTCAGGAATAGATACTGTCATGATAATGGTTCATGGTGTCACTGCGCCCTCCACCCATCTAGAAAACAAGTTCCTTTTTACCGCTGAGTTTTTGCTTGCAGCATTTAGGATGAGGATTCACAACAGAAGGAGGAAACATTTAAATTCTTAAACACTAATGGGTTTGATAGCAACTTGCAGGCAAGTGCTTTCCAAGGATATGTTTGTACTGTTAAAAAGAATATTTGGACTTTTCTCGTATGTTTCTCATTTATGCAAAACTGTTTAAATAAACCAAGCAAGTGAGTTGATGTTATCATTTTGAAACTCTAGTGGATGTCAAGAGTAGACTCTTGCAAGTGAATCTTGCAATGACATCAGGCTTGCTAGCTCTCCGAGGGTCCTGTAACTTCATCGTGATGTGCTGGGTCTGCTATTAGCAGCAAACCTCCCCCTTCCTCCAAGTCATGGCTTGTTGTCCTGGACTGGGGCCACCACCATACAGAATTGGTTATTTACACATGAGAGCCACTCCGGGGATCAATGTCGCTCTGACATTGATTAGGGACCACTTAATCTTAGCTCTTCAGGCTTCTCTAACACAATACTGTAGATTGGGTGACTTGTAAAGGACATCAATGTATTTCTTACAGTTCTCAAAGTGGAAGACTCTAAGGCCAAGGTGCCAGAATATTCAGTGCTTATTGAGAATCCTAATTCTGGTTTGCAGGCAGCTGTCTTTCTGCTGTGTCCTCACATAGCATGTGGGAGGGAGCGTGGGGGGGTCTCCTTTACTAATGAATATGTTCATTATTATTAATTGTTGTCTAATACATACGTATCTAATATATCTATAACATTTCATTATTATGAATGAATACACTTCAATATGGGTGCTTTGATGGTAAAGCATAGGTGCTAGCAGACATTTGAAGAGGTGTTATACCCCTAAATCATTTACAGAGTTGTAAACCATCATCACCTCCATACAATACAGTACAATTCATACGAAATTAAAAAAGAAGTAAAGGCACTAATCCCACCCACCAGGGGATAGCTCTTATGGTGAATCACCCTCCAAAGACTCCCGTCCATGATACCATCCCACAGGAGGGTGGCATCTGACCTGGGTACCTGGGCAGGTGGCAGCCATTCAGTCTAAGCACCATCGCTTGGTGGGGGAGGGTATATGGGCGGGGGGAGGTCCAGATGCCACACACTGGGGCATACTCAGTCATATGCTTTGCTGTGGTTGCTGCTAACAGAGAGAATGAGTGTCATGTTCAGAGAGGAGGGTCCCCTCGGGACACCCCAGTTTCCTGGGCACCTCTGTTCCAGGCCAGTATTCCTTCCAAAATCTCCTCTGGGCCAGTTCTAGAGGTCTTTGTTCACTGAGGAAGATTGAGCAGGTCTCATATTTTTGTGCCCATACTGTTATTTTCCTGATTTTTTAAAAAAAGATTTATTTATTTATGCTTACAGAACTGGGGTACAGGCTAGAGGCGTGGTGGTGAGAGCATTCACCAGAGACGGAGTGGGGAGCGGAACGGGCAGACTGACAAAGTACACTGCTGAGGGGAACAGTGGGCAGGTCAGGAGAGGTCTGCCGCGCCATGTGGGTCAGCTCCCTGGCCGGGGATCAAACTCGTGCTATGGTGGCTTCAGAGAGCTTCACAATGTGGTGCTTTAACCTGTGTGCTACCAGGGAGGGCCTTCTTTTCCTGATTTTAAATATCCAAATGGATACCATTTTTTTTTCCATCGACATTCTTTGTTTCAACTCTGAAATAGTTAAACTTTTCAGAAAAAAAAGTAAAAAAAATAAAGCCAGTGATTCTTACTTAAAATCGTTAATGTAAAAATTGAAAAGCAAAACTAGTTTCATTTCAATGAAGTGTACGCATGCACTAATATAAAGCAATTTATAAACTCAGTAGAACTTATGGCATTTGGGGTATTGCTTCATATAAGTGTTTAAAGAGAAAATAAAAACAATCCATTTCCAGTGGTTTATTTTAAAGTCATCTCAGTGATCTAGAAATGAAAGCATTATTTCATGTCACTTCTCAAAAATGAAAATAAACTCTACCATTTTCTTATTTGTACATTTTCCTCAGCAGGGAGAACATTTATTCTAAAAAAGTTTTATTTAGCAGTTAAACCCAGGGACATTCATTATCAAAAATCCGGTGACACAGCATGGCACTCTTGAACAACTATTTAGAAACTGGATTAAGTAGATATAAGTGCCTTAGAAATTTGTTAGGCTGCCTGTTACAGTGAACTTCCAAAATTCTAAAGACATGTTCAGATTCTACAGTGTAATGGTGGATGGCAGGGGCATCTCCTTCCCTCAACCCCTTCCCTTAGGTTCATCTTCTAAGAAATGTCAGAGGCGGGCCCTCCCTGGTGGTGCAGCGGGTTAAAGCACAGCCCTGAGAATCTAAAGCCGCTTCCGCATGAGTTTGATTCCCACCTTCTCTGGAGGTGACCACATGGACATGGCGTGGCAGACCTCTCCTGACCCGCCCGCTGCTCCCCTCAGCAGTGTACTTCATCGATCTGCCTGTTCTGTTCCCCACTCTGTCTCTGGTGAAGCCTCTCACCGCCCCTGAGCCTCTGGCCTGTACCCCAGTTCTATATGCACAAATAAATAAATCTTTAAAAAAAAAAATAGAAATGTCAGAGGCTTCTCTAAAGCCTCTTCTCTAAAGCATTTCTTATTGAACCCTGACTTCCCCAGGTACATCTTTTGTTGTGGGGGTTATTCAAACTAAGGGGCAAATGTTTCCACTGATGAGTGAATATGCAGTTGTATTAGGTGTCTCATAACACCATGGACTGTCTGTCCCAGAGTTGCTGTGGAGGCTTGTTAAGAATACAGATTTCTTGATCTGCCCCCCCCATGCCCCTTTTCGGGGTAGACCGAGTCAGGTCTCTGTTGCTATGGCCCAGGAATCCGCATTTAAACAAATGTCTTGGTGCTTGCTGAGATGAGTGTTTCTCTGTTAGGGTATATCAGAAGCTTATTTAATGGAACTATGTTCAAGTGTGAGGGAAGCGCATTTTAAGTAGTCAACCCAGTGAATTCATCACTAAGGATGTCTTTTCCACTTAAAATGAAGAAGCAGGACAGAACAATGTTTCAACTTCCTTCTAGCTCTGAAGTCTGGGCTTTATCTTGGCGTTTGTATAAGCTCTGAACACTGCAGCTTCATTATATTTTAGCTTCTGAGGATGCTCTTCTTTGATCTTTGCAACTGATTATGTTTCTATTGATGACTTAGAAAAAAAACACAGATTTTTTTTTAATCAGAGCATTTTAAGATTTAAATCTTTTGAACGACAATCAAAGATGAATTTTAGACATTGCGTCAGAGTTGTTCTTCATTTCTTCAAGGTCTTGGCATTTCAGAGCCAATCTGATGTGGGGAGAGGAAAGAAGAGGTACTGTTCATCCATCAAATCGTACATTTTGGATTACAGATTTTTAAAGCCTTAGAAGTTAACAACAGGGCTTTTATTGCTTGTTTCAAGGGGTAATATTAGTGAAGTTGCCTCCACAGCAACTCAGCGACAGACAGTCCATGGGTGTTACGAGACAACTAATATTAGTGCCAGCAATATAGATTTAGGGTAACATTAATATTGGTTCAAGTTAAAGTCAATACTCTTTTCATTAAAATTGGGTTAGCCATGGAAATCATCATTAAATATTTCTCAAAGACAAAGTTAAAAAAACAGAATGTGCCTACAGATACAGTCATAAGAACTTCTTACACCAAGGTGTGACATTTCATCAAAAACATTTGATTTTTGCTTGGAAGATGCCTGAGAGAAAGAAATTAATTAACACTTCACATCGCTGAGTTAAAATCAGACTGCCTCACAAAAAATTATCTTTCTTTGTTCTATAAAAGCCTTACATGTTTTGACTTATTCTGTGAATAGTCTGTTTTCATTAAATCCTAAGAAAATATTCTACAGGACATTTATTAAAGAGCAAATTAAATGCAAAACATAGTATTTCATGGAGATAAATATGCAGGCTAAAAACTATATGGAGAGTAACTCTAGGAAGCTGAGACCCAGCTTTCTGATTCATTTAATTTTGGGGTGTTCTATCGTCTTGTTGGTTGAACACACACGTCTCTTGCTTAGTACTAAAAACTGGTGGATTTCACCTTCTTATGGTTCTACCCAGAGGTCATTTTATTTCTCCTTTTGGTGTTTCACTTTGGGGTCTACAGGTAAGTGCCCCATTCTCTTCTCCAGGCATCTGAATGTATATTCAGTCAGAGGAAGTAGAAAAATTATAAAACATGGGAAGTTGTTCCCCACAGGCCGAGGGTTTGCTACCTGGTTGCTTCTCAAAGTTAGGTTCCTACCACAGAGTTGGAGCTAGGGCCTCTCTGGTGTGGCCGGAACAAACAGTAAATTCTCTTGGTAGCTTCGAGTCTTCTCAGCAGACACGGTAAGGCAGACTAGGATCATCCTGACCTTTAGCTGTCAGAAATGTGTTTGTGATTGAATCTTTATAGGTCAAGATTGAGGCCACAACAAGAAGAGGGCTCAGAACAGCATGGCTTGAGTTTGGCCAAGCAGAGACTCTTGCGATAGTTACAGGGTGGCAGTGTGTCCTCACTTCCCTGTGATAAACAGTGGCTGCTGGATAGTAACTGTTGTGAGAGAGCTTGGTTTTAAATTCTTACGTAATAACATACATAATGAAAAGTTATGCTATTTTGTTTCAGGGCCGAGATCTGGACTGTAAAATTCAGGAATATAAGGAAGCGGGGAAAACCTTTCCAGAAAGTCAAATAATAGAATGGTTTATCCAGCTGTTGCTGGGAGTTGACTACATGCATGAAAGGTATGTTCATTTATAGTAGGAGCCTGAAAATGAATTTTGGTTGAAAAAGTCCAAACAGTAAATGCCCTAGTTATAATGTGTTTTTTCCAGAAGAAAATTTTTTCTAGAAGATTCTCTTGAGTAGCATTTTTTGTTGTTCTAGAAATCAACTGAAGTTCACTGCTGACAGGAGCAGCGGAAGACACAGGAGAGGTCTGCTGTGCCATGTGGGTCAGTTCCCTGGCTGGGGATCGAACTTATGCTGCTGTGGCTATGGATAGTTTCACAGTCTTTGCTTTAACCCATTGTGCCACCAGAGGGGTGCCCAGAATTGATTTTTAAATGTTGAAACACTGTTAATCATGCATACATCTTTCTTAGCCATAACAATATCTGATCATAAATTCATATTTCTATTTATGTAATTACTATAGTGTTTAGTACTTCATTTGTGTAGGTCTAAGATGTTTCCTTCAGAAGTAAACTTACCTTAAAGGGGACATTCAGCCCACAGCACAGGAGGTGTGAGCATTTGGGAACAGGAAGGTAACCTACCCCAATGTTTCACTCAGTTTTCAACTTAAATCTTCAAATGATAGCTAAGAAAAAGATCTAGCTATAAAGTAGTAGTCTCAGTCTTTTCTCAAATGGCATACAGTGCACATTAAAATATACTTTCCAAATATACTTTGGATTGCTTGCACAAGGGTTGGAAGGCTACCTAGGAAACAAGGCACATGAAAAAATTAGGTTGGGCGTCTCTGTGCAGATGCCTGGCAGACCAGGTGTTGGGTCACGTGTGTCTACTCCAGCGGGCGGTGGTGTGGCCAGAGTCAGCCTCAGGCTGTTGTGTCTGAGGATGTTTCTTGATGAGGTAGCATTAGAATCGGTGAACTCAGTGAACTAGACTGTACCCCCTAAGATGGTTGGACACAGCCAGCCCCATGAAGACCCAAATAGAACATGAGACAGAGAGAGGACAAACTCAACCCTCTTTTTCTACCTCCAGGCTTGGCCTGGAACATCCCATCTTCATCCTTGGACTGCAGGGCTGAGGTGCTGATTCCCTTGATCCTCAGGCCCTCAGACTTATGCCACTTATGCTTATGAGTGTCCAGCTTTCTTTCTCTCTTTCTCACCTCTCCCCAGCGCCTGTTGCTTCTGTCTCTGGAGAATTCTGACTGATACAGTGCAGCAGCGGAGAGAATGAAGACAACCCTGGGAGAACTAAGAATGAGGTTACAGAAGAAATGGAGATTTTGTTTACTCCTTTGGAGCATTCCTGGACTTATTTTTAATTTGGCTAATTTATACATTCGAATATTCTAAATCTATAGCATATGGCACAGGCACTTATAAATAATGATGTTAAAATGAGAATATTCACAGTTCACTAGAAGCTATCTTGGGAATGCAATATTAAAAACTCATTCCTCCCCTAGATCTGAACCTTAAAAACTATATAAAGCATTTACGGTATCTGTGCCCCAAGGCTCTTAGGCTCTTTGCCACCTCCCTCACGCTTCCACAGTTTGGAGAGACTTTGGAGCCCTGGGTGCAGAATGTCGGACTACTTCTCTCCTCTTTCTTTGGAAAACATGCCCCTCATATTCCGGCTTTCTTCATAGCCTGAACCACAGCTCCTGTTTTTTCCAGTGCCAGTCCTGCAGAAATGCTCTGTGTGCTAGGTGGGTCACAGCACTTTGCCGTGGCCAAAGGCCTGAGCGGACGGCAAGGTGGTCCTGTTCACTCAGGCCATGCCTTTCCCTTCTCCTGGGGCTGGCTGACTCCCTTAGTGTACACCAGCTGATCTCTGACATCTTCCAAACACTGCTTCTTCTCACGCTCAGATTGTTTGAATAGTACAGTTTTCTCTACACATCCAGAAAGATAGATTTAGTGAGAGATACGCTGTTTCCATCGTAATTTTAAGAATGTTTCCCCCTAGACATTTTATGTGGTTGTTTGACAAATCAACATTGTATATGGGGTAGATTCCTATTTCTGGCTCATACTTTCTACCCCTTTCTTTATGATTTTAATAATTTAAGTTAAAAGACTCATTTTATAGTTTGTATCCTGTTAGAGGATCTGACATTCTCAGGGGTCTGATTTCATTGTCTGTTACTCTGCTGACTCTTAGTTCTGCATTTGCTTTGGCCGGATGTTGCAGGAGGATATTTGCAGCTGTGGCCCAACTTTGGTATTAATTTCTTGGCTTGGGAGTTCTAAAACCAAACAATAGTTATATATTTGGATCCCAAATATGAACAAGTGGAGAGAGGTGGTTACAAAATATCCAGGGAATAGTTTACTCTGTTCAGACTTAGAGGCTTCCTGGCCAGAGCGGTTGCTCAGAGTCATTCTCCCACTTCCAGTGCGGCTCACACATAGGATTCGGACCTTAGGTGTGGTATCACCTCATTCTCCACTTCAGTGGACTCAAGGTCTTGGCGATTGTTTCTGTGACATATGAAAGCCAACCCTTGGGGTCCCAGGCCAGGTAACACCCCAGGCTAGCCGAGAAGCCAGCACCTCCTGCTCATTCTGATTTTCACTGTTTTCTTCATATAATCCCCAGGAATTTGTCTCATCTTCTCTCAAGGTTAGCTGTGCATGTGTGAAGAATCTGGTATACTTTATTCAACATTTTTAGAGAAAGATTTTCAAGGTATTTAGTTCTCTATAATTCCAGAAATAAAAGTCTTAACTGATATAATTTACATCACTGACTTACTGTATGACTTAATAAATGGGGTCCTCCCTGGTGGCACAGCAGGTTAAAGCACAGCACTATGAAGCTACCACAGCCACTTCAGCACAAGTTCAATCCCTGGCCAGGGAGGTGACCCACATGGCGCAGCAGACCTCTCCTATCTCACCTGCTGCTCCCCTCAGCAGTGTACTTCGTCCATCTGCCTGTTCTGCTCCCCACTCTGTCTCTGATGAATCCTTTCATGGCCCCTGCACTTCTGGTCTGTACCCCAGTTCTGTATGCATAAATAAATAAATCTTTTTAAAAAATGTTATGTTACCCACTAGCATTGTCAACATCATTTCCACCAATATATAAAATCTGAACATTTGTTTTAAAATATAATTTATATATAATCATGTGTGTTATGTAATATGTCTGTAATAACACCTATATATTATAGAGCCTTACAATAACTATTCTGTGGTTACTAGTTCGAGTACTATGTAGGTGATGCTTCAAAAACTATAGAGATAGTTGAAACCATGTCACTCTTCTACTGTACGCTCCTCCTGCTTATAATCTTTGCTTTAAAACTCTTATTTTCCCAGAGAAACTGGAAGTGTTGAAGTTTTATAGCTTTTAAACATTAAAAGATAAGGCCATGCAAGTGTATGCTAACATGGGAATCACAGTGCCTGCACTTGTGTATTTTTTAGATCTGGTTGTAAATGTTTACATGTGTTTGAAATTGTATATCCTTTACTTATTGTAGGAGGATACTGCATCGAGACTTGAAATCAAAGAATATATTTCTGAAAAATAATCTACTTAAAATTGGTGAGATTTTTAAAAAATTTGTATTAAGAAAACATGGGAGCACATATTCCAAATGGTTTCCGCGTATGAAATCAAATATATGGTACCTAGAAGTGTTAGGGTCATTGTAGTTTATTTAAATTTAGAAAATTTTTGTTGTTATTTGCTGGGAGCCAACAACACCGACTTATTTTGTTCTTAATTATCTGATACAAGTTGAGGGTGAAGACATTTCCCATAGGCTTGACAGACTCCGCAAATCGTTTTTGAATTTCTACTCCCTGCCAGGCACTTTGCAAGTGTTAGATTCGTTTTATTAGTGTGATTGATTATACAGACACCCTCTCACCCAATCATCAGCAATTAGCGCTATCACAGATAATTAAAATGTTGATGTAATGACTTCGTGAACCTTGGTTCTTCTTCAAATCTGTACCTCCACTCATGACAGTTACTGATTGTTTAACCTTCCTGTAGAATGTTCTTAGATAGGGAAGGTAGAAAAGCTTGTAACTAATTAGGAAAGTATAGAGAAGCCGAGGGATTCAAATTTTTATCATCATGCTCTTGGGAAGTCTCAGGACTTATCTAAAACTTCTTCTTTATTGGAAATTAGGAACACTGTCCCCCATCAGAAGAAATTACGCATTTTTATATTAAGCCCTTTCAGAATTACTGTTTGTTGTTATTCAGACTTCAAATAGCTTTTTGTTTCAATCTGCTGGATTGCCATGATGCCAGAAATAAAGTTTCAGCTTCACTTTCCTGGCTCAAAGCCCACTCTCCCCCTGTAAGGCTTATGTTTTTAAAGCTGTTCACCAGCATTATGTAATTTAAAATCCATGACTTTTCTTTTCCTTTAAACTGGTCTAAACTATACACATTAACATTGTAAGATTAGGGCCACCCTGGTGGTGCAAGAGGTTAAGTCACAGCACTATCAGGCTGTTGCCAGCCACTGCGGCGTGAGTTCGATCCCCAGCTAGGGAGCTGACTTGACCCACGTGGTGCAACAGATGTCTCCTGTCTCGCCTGCTGCTCCCCTCAGCAGTGTATTTCAGGCATTGTCCATGTCTACTCCCCACTCTATCTCTGGTGAATCCTCTCACCCTCACCCCACACACCTCTGGGCTATACCCCAGCTCTTGTGTACATAAACAAAGTGTTTTTTTTTTTTTTTAAAGAAAACATTGTCAGATTAGACAGTTGATAACTTCCAGTGCTGATTTTTCAGTGTTTTAAAGTTTTTGTAAAAATCAACTCATTTCCAGGGGATTTTGGAGTTTCTCGACTCCTGATGGGCTCCTGCGATCTCGCCACCACCTTAACTGGAACCCCCCATTATATGAGTCCCGAGGCTCTGAAGTACCAAGGCTATGACACCAAGTCGGATATCTGGTGAGTGTGCAGCCGGCAGCCCCATGACTGGTCCCTCTGCTGCCTGGGCGGTGGTTCGAGCTGTCTGCAGTCTCCCTCACTTAGACACACTGGTCTTAGCCCTCCGAAGTGGAAGTGAGCTGAGGGCAAGAATAAGAGGCTCTTTTAGATTGGAACTTGAGATATCCTATTATGTTGATCTCAGAAATTTTCCTTATTCAGACATGAATTGGTTAGTTTGGATCTTTTCTTCTTAAACCAAAGCAAAGTTCTTTATGTATCATAAACATTACGTTTCTGCTAATTATTAAAGCACTTGTAATCCCAAACTCTGCTTTATTTTATTTCATACTACTTTAACCTTGACCTGTGTGGAGGAATGCACAACTTTTCTTTGTGTTTTGTTTTATTTTTTCCTTCTACATACTTTTAAGAATGTTTGCTAAAGATGGCAACTTTATGGAGAACTTGAGTTTAGTGATAGCTGCCTCTGAGATTTCTCTGCGCTTTGTATCAAAAGAATTTCTCCTATCTCATCACGGAATCAGTTTAAATTTCAGTGCAGAAGCCATGTGGAAAATTGTATTCTATTGTTAGCAATAGAGCCTTTTTTGGGGGGAAATTCTCACCCTTTGAAGAGGAATCTTACATAATTTTTAGTTTCTTGAACGTTGGAAGGACACTCTAGCTGAGAGCCCGCTAATTAAGTCAATAATTATTGTATGCAAATCAACTTAAGTAGCTGAAAGCTTTCAAAGATGAGCCACATGAAAGAGTGAGTTCTTTAGTTCTTCTAAAGAAAATAAAGTAGAAAGTTTCCTTTCCTCTGACTGGGGGAAAGTAAACAGAACAGGGCACATCTACCTCGAGCTTCCCTAAGGGTACCTCTCCGGGAATGGCAGTTTCCCATCCAGCCTGGATCTTCAGTTCACTCTTAGATTTTCATTTCCAGGGTCTTCAGAGATGCTGTTCTTTGTTACTATGTTTCTACCCTGGTGGTCTTTGTTAGTTCATCTGTCAGCTTCCTCTGTCACAACCTTCCTCTGACCCCCAGTAAAACGGAAGCGAGACAGACAAAAAACCCACATCACTGTGTTCCAGCAGTGAGTTTCTTTCATTCTCTCTCTGTCGAGCCTCTACAATTTGCACATGACTGTGCAGTCACATGGTTAGAGTCCACCTCTTTGGAGAAATCTGCTGGTTATTTTCTGGAGTAACTTTCTCCAGTCAGAAAATCAGTATTGGACTTTGGATTGAATTTGAGTTACATACCTACATCCCCCTTCATACTTATTAACCTTTAAAAATAAATTCAAACATATAATTCCTTATGACTTAAAATCATACGGTATCCCAGGAAGATGCTATAGCATATCATTTGAATTAAGAGCAAATTAATTTGTGAAGCCTATCATTTAAGTCTTTGGAATTACACATGACAAGGAAGCTGGCTCATTTGACAGCTACCTACCTCTGCTCACCAAATCAGATGGGTATTTTCTAGAAAATGCCACAGAACCCACAGAGGAAAGTGTAAAACAGGCTTTTTGTCTCAGCTATGTCTTGTCTTCTTTTAAAAAACTACCGATATTGCAGCTAATTTGTTATATTATTTTAGACTTGCAAAATGTGCATTAGGCAAATCTTTAAAAAGTCAACATCTTCCACAGATAAAAATTCAGGAGAATTTAAATACATTTTAATATGTTTTGTTGAGGTTATTATTCTCGAACAAGTGTGAGCTAAGAATTTATCTCCCCCCCAATCCCAAATAACCACCTTATTATGAATTTAGTAATTACCTTGCTTATAGAATCAAAACAGGCTCATCTGGTAATGAGCTTTCTACTACCAAACCTAATGCAGAGAAAGCCACAGAGAATATTCATTATAGTGGCAGATACATAAGTATGATGAGTTATCTTTGGGAGACACTTAGAAAAATTAGGTTGAATGGAGTTGAGAGTTTTTCTCAGAATCTGTGTGTAGAATCTTTTACTGTGGAATATTTCCTTATGATTAGAGGCATGGATAATTGACAGGTGTTTTGCTTTAGCACTAATAGCTGCACATATTTATAGTGCAAAAAGAAAAATCGGTATAATACCAATTATATTTTCATCTGTTACTGTTCACCCATATGTAACTATAATCCTCCGACAATCTGTTAAACCTTTTCAAATTCACCTATTTATAGTATTAATTGTACAGAAGTTTTCTCTTAAAAGCAGGTTAGTTTCTAAAAGTTTATAAACAGTTGTTTGAAGAGTCAGGATAATTAGATTTCCTGAGGACAACATTTTGAAACATACCTAATTTCTATAATCTATTGCTAAAGATTTGTTTCCCTGCAGGAGATAAATGTATGAGTTGGGTTTCTAGGCCAGCTCTTTAAATGGCTTAAATCATGAAATTTTATTATATTGGTAAGAGAAACAAAGGACATTGTTATCAGAACAGTACAGTATAGTACAGTATCAGAATGGTCCTCTAGTTAAACAGAGTATTTCATTGTTAGTGTTATTTACCTTATGTGAGAGGTCAACCAGATGGCTCTTTGATCCATATGTGGTAGAGAGAATAGATACATTTTTGGCAGCTGTATCTGGATGTGGATTTTCAGGACTACTACTTGGAGTTAGGTGAGCTTGTAGATTAATATATTTCACCCAATTTGGGGCATTTCTAGCCATTACTTCTTTAAGCAAGTTTTCTCCTTCCTCTCTCTCTCTGCTACTCCCATTGTGTCTATGTTGGGGTAACCACATTTGTCTGATGCAGTGCTTATTTTTTCTTCATTCATTTTTCTCACTATTCTTCACATTAGAATATCTGCCAGTCTGTGTTCAAGTTCACTAATTCTATCAGTAAAAAGTCTATTGTTAACCCCTCTGGTGAATATTCTTTTTTTTTTAACAGATTCATTTATTTATGTGTATAAGAATGGGGTACAGGCCAGAGATGTGGGGGTGAGAGGATTCATCTGATGACTGTTTCACTTCAATTGTTATACCTCTTAATTTCATAATTTCTATTTGGTAAATAATTTTGATCTCTTTGTTGATTAGAGCTTTTTTGCTTGAAAAGTTCAAAGAAGCAGGGAAAGGTGGATACAACTCTTGTTTTGTCTTTGCATTTGGTGAACAGATTAATGAGTCTTCTCCGAGATGTAGGGTAGGTCGGCTCCAGGCTTCCAGTGTCAGGACTTAAGCTGTGCCCTGCTCTGAAATGAGCCCATCTAAGGCTGGAGAGAAAGAGCAGGAACTGTGTGAAACCATGTAACTCGATGGAAAGCTCCCTGTGTAGCCAAGCCAATAGCAACCGGAAAGGTTAACTAGACTTCTTGTTTGAACATTCTGACATAGATCCATGTGTACCCCTGAAACTGATGTAATGTGTTGATTGTATTTCAATTTTAAGAAAAAGGAAGGAGAAGGAAAGGTGGATACTTAACGAATAGTGAGTAATCTACCAGAGGAATTAGTCTTCTAAGGAAAACAGTGTGAAAAACAGACTGTTGGGGAGTCGGGGAGTCTTGTGGAGACAAAGAAGGGAGCTAGGCAGTCCTGCTATTAACCTGCCACATTCTACTATTTCTGGAGCTCTGTCAATCTTAAAAGAGCCATTGGGGACTATTAAAGATGATTAAAGCAGTTGGACCACAGCCATTTAATCAGAGTGTGAAGCAGTTTATGCCACATGCCAGTGTGGACTGTCACCATCCCCAGCCTTCAGGGAGTGACTGAGTGAAGAACACTCGACCGTGGATGCTGCTTGGATCCTTGTTTCTGTTGCAACCTCCTTCTCTACCCCCGCTCTGCACACTGTCCCTGTTCATGTCCCAAACCTTGTGCTTTGTATGGAATCTCTGACAATCACCCCCAGAATAGCTTAAAATGTCAAAATCTTCCCTTTTCTTGTCCCTCTCTGGCCCTCCCTCTCTCCTGGTGCTGGTCCTCTCCTCTCCTTCCAGTGGCCCAAAATCCCGTGGCAGAGAGGTCGAAAACTACCACAGGGGAGGAGGGAGAGATGCTCTTCCTGCAACCATTGTAAAGCTCAACTGTGGAAGAGAATACTTAGGAAGAGCTTGTATAGGGATGAAATTTGCCCACAGTTTGCTTCTAAAATTTTAAGGATCTTTCCCAAAGCATGATACTCTATTGGGATGATATGGTGAGAGGAAAAAATCACTTTCCTTTTAAATATTCTTTTACAAATTCAGTTCCTCAGATACTCTAGCCATTTTTCAAGTGCTTAGCATCCGTATGTGGCTTAGTGTATCCAGAAATATTGAACATCTTCATCATTGCAGAATATTCTAGTCGGCAATCCTGAGCTCTGTACTGTCCAACGACTTTTCCTGTGTTCACCCTGCTTTGGATCAGGCAGATCCCCTACTAATTTCCCCTACTGTTCTTGGAATAGTCCTCTGTGCTTTTCAGCACTCAGTGATTAGTTTGAGGTTATTCTGGCCTTGGGTTCTTCATTCACATCATCGGCTCCCTGTTTCTTCTCAGGCAGATGCTAACAGCGCAGGTCATAAGGCGATTGTGGTTTGTCTTCGGTCCCTTGTACTTTGAGGGCCAATAAGGACACCTTGTCTCTTGGTGTCATTGAACGTTAGCTCAACGTTATTGTGCTGTTTTTCATGGGGATTCAAGGAGGAGCCAGACATTCTACTTCTAATGTAGCTTTATTCCTCCCATTCCCAATTCCTAGAACCAGTGTTTTAACAAAATCCCTGGGTGATTTGTATGTATATGAAAGCTTGGGACGTGCTAATGGAGGTTCTGGGACATGATAGGCCTTAATAAGCAGTCGCTGTATAATGTGGCTGCTTCAGTGTTAATTCAGTCAGCCCAGTGTTTCTTTATATTTAGATGCAGTTTATGTTGATATTGAATTCCACCTACGTGAAGACTTTTACTTAGGGAAATAAACACCAAAGCAAATGTACTCATATGAAGTTTTTATTACTCTATTCAATTAAGTTTTGTGCACTCTTTTCTTTCTGTCTTGATTATGTCAAATAAAAGTATTATCTAGAAAATCAATAAAACTTCCCCCAACCAACCACAGTCATGCTCTGCAGTCATGCTCTTTGCAGAGTCTGAGTTACATTTGCAATTCATTACCAACCCACGCTTCAGAATTCCTCTGGGCAGTGCTACTTTGCTTGGACAGATGGCAAGTTTAGGAACTTCAGGTATAATTGGCTTCCTTTGCACGTGATCCCAACCTTCCCTTTCACTGCTACATTCACTCCCTCAGGGATTTATTTGCTTACTTCTTCACAGTTGGTGGTATTTGGACAAAGAAAGGAATGCAAATCAAAGACTTTTGGGAAAATGTACCTCCCCCTTATTTGTTTACCGACCCCCCCCCTTCCTCACTACTGTCCCCCTTATTTTCCACATCACTAGATTTAAGACCTGGGGGTGAAATAATGGGAAAAGCTTCAAAAAGGATAGTGTGATAACTTTACAATGATATAATTATTTTCATGTAGAAATGTCTGGTTGAAAACTGGCAAAAATAAAAATATAGGTATATTGATATAAAGTTGCTAAAATAGAAAGTATCTAAAATAGGGTTTAAATTTTGTAACAGAATAGTAAGAAATCTTTAACCCTATGTGTATGGTAGTTTCTATAATCAGGTTGTCCTTTATTTCAGTTACATGTTCGTTCAGGCAGGTGTACTGGGGCCATAGTCAGTCCCTTTCCAGAACATTCCAGATAAATTCTCCTCCTTATGCTCTAGCACACAGAGATATCAGTAGATCAAAGTAAAACAGGTAAATGGAAAGCAGTTGTGTCTTCAGTGTAGCTGAGAGGATTTCCAAGAAAGAGAATGGTCTTGTATCAAAATGAATTGATTACTGAATTAATTGATTACTCGAATTGTTCCATGGTCTGCTGTGCCAGATAAATCTGCATCTTTTTTTAAGCTTGTTAAATTCATTAAGTATGGCTCATGGGGAGTTATGTCTCCACAGAACCAGCACTTGACTTTGTGATCAAGTCACTAGGTGTAAGAGCCCACTCACCTCCTTTCCCTGCCAAGCAGCAGAAGTACAAAAGCTGAACTTACCTGCCTCCCTTCCTTGAGCCACAGGGTCTTGATCTGATGCCCTGATGGCTTGTCGGGTCTCAGGAAATCCCTGAAAGTGGGCTGTGAATACAGATAGCACCTGAATTAAGCTTTAGAAGTCAATCCCCTACTGAAAGGCTAAGACCAGGGTGCCCTGGGATTTCCAGCTCTGTAGAGTCCTTCCTGATTTGAAATGCTCCAGCACAGCAGAGAGGCAGGTTAGCAGCGCTTACATCTCAGGGCCAGAGCCTATGTCACAACCTTGAACAATTTTCCTAATCTTATGGTTGTCTCATGTAAAACATGGAATTGATAATAATAGTTTTTATTTTATTAGGACCCTTGTGAGGATGATTTAATGAGTTAAACATGTCAGAAACACAGAAGAATGGCCTGGTTTCTAGTAAATGCTATTAAATTTCGGCTACTGTCTTCATTAAAATAAAAAGCATCCTTCATTCAGGATTACAGTTATATTAATAGGAAGTTTAGGTAGGACTTTCCCCCTAATTTTCTTGAGAATGTAGAATTACTTTATAGATATTTCTGTTGGTCTAGAGGTTATTAATTTGACTGGTTAATCCAAACTAGTTTTGAATCAAGCTAGAATTTTCATACATTTTTATACTCCTGAAGGGAGAATTACACATTTCCATGTGAGCTTCAAGTAGCTTGTCCACCCTGTTTGCAAATGGATTATATTCAGAAAACAAATAAAAAGTGCCAGCTTCCTTTTCAAAATGCTTGTCTACACATTGAGGGAAGTTAGGCTGATAAATTAAAGCTTTGTTTTGCATAAATAACATCCATGAAGCTGTCTTAGAAAGGCAAGAGTTAGCTCTGTTTTTTCCTCCAAAAGAAGTTAAGTAAAAAAAATCCCCGATTCCAGTGATCAGATATTTAGTGAGTCTTTCCTGTGTGCAGGCATTTTCCTGTTGTCGGTTTGCTTTCCTTAGACAAAAAGAAGTCACTCAGACTTGCATTTTGAGCTTTGTCCTTTCATTTTTCTCTCTATCTAAAATGGTGGACATGTACTCAAATGGAAAAAAATGAGGAACTGAAAATTTTCCAAAAAGAAAGGTGCATACTAATGTCTCATAGCCAGTTCCCTAACACAGCTGGCTTGTGTAGCTCTCAGATTTCAGATAGGACATATGTTTCTTATTAAACTCTGTATGCCTTTGCTCCAGGTCCCTGGCATGCATCTTGTATGAGATGTGCTGCATGCATCACGCATTCACTGGCTCCAACTTCTTGTCCATTGTTTTAAAGATTGTTGAAGGTGACACACCTTCCCTCCCTCAGAGATACCCAAGAGAACTGAATGCCATCATGAGAAGGTATGGGAACAAATGCATCATTACAGAAATGACTTCAAACTCTACTTATATTTTGTTTGCAAAGTAACTCTATTTTTAACCTTTACAGCATGTTGAACAAGAGCCCTTCACTGAGACCATCTGCCATAGAAATTTTAAAAATCCCTTACATTGATGAACAACTACAGGTATTTAAAATGAAAGTGCTACTGGGAAACGTGTTAGCCTTTAGCATCTATATATGTTTTAGGATTTGTGGGAATAAGATGCAAGATGCATTAGGAATCAGTGAGACAATGAAAAAAAAAAAAGGAAGAAAACTCTGGGTCACAATGAAGTTACAACAGACATCACGGACATTCAGAAGATTGTGAGATTACTATGAATGTTTGTATGCTAGTAAATACAGTAACCTAAAAGAGATGGACACAATCTTAGAATATATACAACTATCCAAGACTGAATAGGGCAGAACAGACCAATTATAAGCAAGGGAACTGAAGCAATAAGGAAGACTCTTCCCCAAAAAACAGATGTCCAGGACCAGATGGGCTGCCAAACCTTCAAAGACCAGCTAATACTATTCTGCTAGAAGTCTATTAAAATAGTTTGAGAAGAGAGAATAATTGTAAGCACATCCTTATGAAGCTAACATTACCCTCATACCAAAACCAGATAAAGACAGCACAGAAAAAGAAAACTACAGATAAATTTCCCTAATGAATAAAGATGCAGATATCCTCAACAAAACCTTAGCAAACCAAATCCAACAATGCATTGTAAGGATTATACATGTGACCTTACACCAGGGACACAAGGGTGATTCAGCATCTGAAAATCAATGTAATTAACCACATCAGCACAAGGAAAGACAAAAGCCACATGATCATATCAGTAGATGCCAAAAAACATCAACTTAACCCTCAAAGCACTGCAGATAAATAAGACATATTTCAACAAATAAAGGCCATATATGACAAGCTCACAGCTAACATCCATTCTCAATGATGAAAAACTGAAGGTCTTTCCACTAAGATCTGGTACAAGATAATGATGTCTACTTTCCCTGAAACGATTCAACATAGTGTGAGAAGTCCTAACTCGAGCAATTATGCAAGAAAAAGATAGAAAAGGAATCCAAACTGGGAAAGATGAAGTAAATCTATCTAAATTGTCTATTATTTACAGGACAACATGATGATAATATACAGAGAGCCCTCCTCTGAAATACTAATTGAAATAATAAATCAGTTCAGCAAATAAATCAGTCAGCTCCTTTTCCTAAGAGTGTTTTTGTTTTGTTTTAAATCTTTTTATAATTCAAAGCCCTCTGGTAAATTTCCTTTGATTCTGAGTAGATTTAAGAGGACCCACAAAGCAGTCATTCACCTTCAAAAAGATGTAGCACGGTTCATCAGCATCCAGTTATAATTCCACAGGAAACAAGGAATCCCAGCCTGAGGTGCATTCACTGATTGAATGCTGGACACTAGGCTGGCACTGAGGGGCAGGGATGCCAAAGTGAAAGGAACAGACTTGGCTTCTGACCTTCTGAAGCTTGAACCCAATAACCAAAAAAAAGTAAGCAAATGATAAAAATTAGTGTAAGTCTTCAGGAGCAGTAGGAAAAAAGCAAACACTACAAAGAGGGGATTTGGCAGTCAAAGGTGGAATAAGTAACACGAGAATAGGGCAGTGTAAAATGTTGAAATCACAGGAAAATCACTCTTAGAAACCCTGAATTAGGTCATGTTCCCTGGAGGGAGGCTCAAAGGGGAAGGTTTTTAAGTAGGTGCCCCAGAAGCAACCCCTTGAGAGTGGGATAAGCAGGACAGGAGAGGGGAGGTGGGCAGCAGATCCCTGAGTGCAATGGACCTTTGTAAAACATGGGCTTAACCTGCACAGAACCACTTATACATGAGTTTTTTCAGTAAATATTACCAATGCGTGAATCATTAGATCTGTAAATAAATAAGAATTTATTTCGCATCCTCTTTCATTTTTGAGGTCTAGTGTTAGAAATATGTATGACATCAACTGCGTTTTATGTCATGTATGACAAATATTCATACAGATACTAACAGATGACTTATAAAGAGATGATAAACTTACTATATAGATAAATCTAGTACAGTAAATGTATCTTTTTTCTTACGATTATTTTATAGCAGTCCTGTCTCTAGCTTACTTTATTATAAGAATACATTATAGCACATATAGCAGATAAAATATTTGTTAATTAACTGCTTTTCAGCAAGGCTTTTTGTCAACAGCTAGCTATTAATTAAGTTTGGGCGTAGTCCAAAGTTTTGTTAGATCGGTGCTCCTAATCCACCTGTCTTGGTTACTGAGGTCTTGGATGTGTCCTCAAACTTTGCATCTGTGATAAGTGCTTCTCATGTCCCTCTCTAGGATAGCCTTGGGGTCGGGGGCATTGTTCACTACAGGCCCAGAAATGGATGATAGCAGGTGTTCTGGGAGTGAGAGGAGGGCCTCCCCTGGCTGGGTGACAAGAAGGGAGAGCAGAGGTTGCAAAATGAAGTTGAGGAGGGAGGCAGGATCTTGACTGTGCAGAGATCTGATTGCATACGCTACCATGTAATTTTCTGTAACCCGTTGTAGAGGGATAAATAGTTATCAGTGGGTTTTATTTTCAAGCTCTCAGACATGGTCAATAATACTGCAAATCAGAAAAGACACCTGGTAGTTTTATGCCCTTTCATCCCTGAAGAGGAGTCATTAAGGTGTATCAAGGTGGTTCTTTTTTTTCCCCAGCACCTGATGTGTAGATATTCAGAGATGATTCCGGAAGACAAGAACTTGAATTGTCAGAAGGAAGCTGCACATATAATTAATGCTGTGTAAGTAATTGCTTTGTTTTTAAAAAGCCCAATGAGCATAAAAGTTAAATGCACTTGTCCTTAAAAATCTATTAGTGCTAAGCTGACTGCATGTATCCTAGAATTCACTGAGTCTTGCCAAGAAATTAAGAAGCTTCAGTAACTTAGTGTTCCACAGCTCTCTGCCCCAGGTGGTAGCAAATTGGAATCATAAAAGTCTAAGCCACTGCACGGCTTACAGATCTGCAGGGTAGCACCACAGTGGCCTTGTCCCTATCTAGAGAAATTACTGTCTCAAACATTCAGTGGTCATTATGCTAATGACCCATCCAGATTAAGCAAAAATGGCTTTCACAAGTTGGTTTAATGGGCCCTGGCAGAGTATCTGTTGAAAAGGCAACATGCTGGACTCTTGAGACAATTGAAAATAACCCAAAATTTACTTCCTTGGGATACACACAAGCACTAGGGAATGTCTTTCACAAGGAACCATAATTATTTCCTGACCTGACTTCTCTTTCCTCCTTCAAAGTGTCTGTGCTGTAACTTGCAAGAGACGAGAATGCCAGGCTACCTCAGAAAAGCTGTATACAGCTGTGCAGACTATGAACTGCACAGCAACAGGGCGACCACAAAGACTATTCTTTTGCTGGGGTGGCTCTGTTTGATCTTAGAAGGACCCAATCACTGTGGCAGAGCTGGGCGAGGCAGTGCGGTGAAGCAGTAGCCCTCAACTAGCCTGAACTTCCAGGCCAAGTAGCACAAATGCGCTTCTCTTAACACCCAGTCCGATGGTTTCTCAGCTGCACATTTGTTTCCCATCTTAGTTTTCAAACTGAGAAAACTGTTGTTGGGGAGGAAAATTCTTCCTCTACCCTTTTAGGTCCTTATGGCTGGAAAGTAATTAAATCAACACAAGACCGATTAACTGGAGAAAAAGACCAACTTAATTTCAGATGCATGCAAATGCCATATGGGAGATGAATATGGAATCTGTGGTGTGAACAGAGCAACACACTTATGCACTTTTTGAACAAAGGAATTCTTGAAATTCTGGTTTGGAGAGCAAATTCAGTGAGTTAAAGAGAGCTTTATGCCGGAGAAACCAGCCCTGGAAGCCTGTAGCAACTCCTGCTACAGGAAGAGCCCTTTTCTTTTCTTTTCTTTTCTTTGATTTATTTATTTTTGCATACAGAACTGGGGAACAGGCCAGAGGTGCAGGGGCAGCGAGAGGATTCACCAGAGACAGAGTGGGGAGCAGAACAGGCAGATGGACGAAGCACACTGCTGAGGGGAGCAGCGGGCGGGTCAGGAGAGGTCTGCCGCGCCATGTGGTCACCTCTGGGGCAGGTGGGAATCGAACTCATGCGGAAGTGGCTTTAGCTTCTTAGTGCTGCGCTTTAACCGGGCTTTAACCCTCTGCGCCACCAGGGAGGGCTAGGAGAGCCCTTTTCACATGGAGATTTAGTTCCCACTTTCAGCAGACAGGGAGGTATAGAGTATCATTTCTTCACCTGCCACATCCTAAGCAGGCCTACCTTAAAATAATAAACACGCCACGTTGGCACACCTCATCTGTGCCACGAAATTGGTCCATCAAAGGTGTTCAGTCTTTAACGGTTGATCTTCGTCTTAAAAATACTGCCTCTTGGGATTCACTTTTAGGCACGCTGCTATAATGTAGTTACTGCCTGTTCTTTCAATGATACGAGGAACTTCACATTTTATTTATTAACTAGAGAGAGGAGAGTAGTAGATATCTTGCGTTGTAAATACCGAACTACTTTTAGCTGTCGTTTTTGCACCGAAGCAGTTTGGCTGATGCTGTTTCTGAGGAAAATGTGAGCGTCCAGTTGCCTGGATGGCATTTCACTTTATGAAATATTGATTTCGAATCATCACTGTTATTTTCAAGATCTGTGGCTGTGTTTCAAGGAGATGTGTCTGGCCTTAAGGGAAGTATATTCCTGAAAGTCACCTGTTCTCAGGGACTCTGGTCCAGATGGTGTTCCAGAAGGATGACAACTGCCTACAGTGGTCCCTATCAGTTCCTCACAGTGTTTTTTTTATTATTATTTTTTTATTTATTTTTATTTTTTTATTTTTATAAAGATTTATTTTATT